TTATTTTAGTCTAATTCTCCTTACAACTAACATGAATCTCTTTAATCCTTTTTGTCTTTTTACTCTATTTGGATCTTTTGATTTCTTTCGTTCTTTTAATCGCTTTAATGTCTTTTAGTACATTTGATTCTTTACTTCTTTAACACATTTAGACTCCTCAGTAGTTGTAGTTTCTTAAATTCATGTAGCACATCTAATCTTTGTAATCATTAAAAAGATTGAAACGATTAAAGGTAACAAAAGAAACAAAAGGCAAAACATTGTAAAGAACACTAAAGTAACTTGAAAGATCGAAGACATTCAAAGGATCTATGTACATGAAAGAAAAGGACTAGAAGAACTAAATGGAATTACCATAGTCCAAAGTGAAAATTTGACGGGAACAAATCCGATTTTTTGTGGGTCCCTCTTCTATATCTTAAAATTCTGACTAAGTTCATTCATTCGAGTTGATCATTTTGCTTCTATTTTTATCATCATATTAGACATGTTCGCTAAAAACTGTCTACTGAATCTTATCGAATTCTAAAATTTAGAGTTTTTCTCCAAAGAAGATTACTAAAATAAAACAAAAAACAATTTATTTGAAAATAAATGAAGTTCTCTTTACTTATTGTTAATGATTTCAATTAAAAGAATTATTAAATCGAAGTTCAAAATAGAAATAAATGATTTATTGAAATCTTAAATTTAAGTTATTAAATAAGGTTTGTTATTTCCATTGACATTGTAAGAGAAAAATATTATTTTAGATTGAATAATTTAACTTTTGATTGATGGTATTTTAATAGCAGATGAATGAAAAGTTTTTAGAGAAGATGGTTTCGTAATTTTTGTCCATGTAAAAATAATTTAAAAGAACAAATAAAAACTATGGATTAGACACAAAAGCTTGTGCTCTTTTCAAATATTAATTCAGAAAATTTTTATCCACTTTTGCTAAATGAAATTAATGAGAAAATCTTTGCATATTTAAAAAATTTATTTTTTGCATAAAATAAACATATATTTGTTATCTTCGTAAATTGCTTTGAAAAGTTGTTAAAAAGAGTTGAATTGAATTTAATAATTTTGTCGAGTACGAGGGATTTTAAATAAAATATGATGTTGAAGTCGAATGTAATTTTTACAAAAGTAAAATTATAAACATTTTTCTTAGTTCTCCATTTCTATTTTAAAAAAATAAGTAAATAATAATTTCTGATGGATTTTGAGAAGATAAAATCGAAATGGATTTATGTAAGTTATTATATAGGATAGATTTCGTCCAATCAATTCGTATATGAATGAAAATTATAATCTGAGATTTTGAATTCCAATAATACAAAATATAAAAGTGTGTAGAAATATTTTCTGTCATTCAAGTAATTAGGATAGGTAGAAAAGAACGATTAGATTTCTGAGATTTTGGATGATTTCAGATAAACAAATTAAATCCATAATCAATCTTAGCTCGATTCTGGTCAATGTTTGTCAAAGAAAACCATAATCAGACACATTTTCGTTTTTTGACTTAGTTTCAATTTATTGTTATATCCGTCGTCCATGATAACCGAATACACTCTGAATGTTAACGTTTTCTATCTTAAGTATTTTATTGTTTTCAAACATCGATATCAGCACATCGTAAACGCGAATACATACGACATAAGAAATCTTTCATTTCTATCACAATTAAGAACTCTCACACATCCTTATCCACATCCTTCATTATTCTAACAAGTTCTCCGATTGTCGAAATCAATCATATTCCCATGTCCTCTATCAACCAGTAAATTATCTCGAGAATAACTAAATCATCTCATTATAAGGACTGTAAACATTTCAAAAATGTTTTTCGCATTTCATTAATTATTTCATTACTATAGTAAGTGACATAATTAATCACTCTGAAACATATTTCTTTCGAAAATTTGTGAATTCCATTCCAGAATATGCGTTAATATATAATACGGATTTCAATATTTAAATGCTCATTTTCTGACAACATTAAGAGTTCTACTTCCTACTCTTAAACTTATCTTTTAAATTTATGCTCATTTTTGATTGTGTATCTCTTAACCGGAACAAAATTAGTTGAGGATTTCTCTACAATTCCTACTAAGAAAGTGAACTAAAAACAATGCTTTTCACGTTCATATTGGTTTAATTTTGAAAATTCGATAGTGAATGGAGTTGTTATCGTCCTAAGATTCGAATCTATTCGTTTAAATTACTAGATGAGATGAAAAAATTTAATTCATATTCATCGAAGGAAGAATGATTGCTTTAGTGGAAATATTATTTCAATCGGTTGCTTTTAAAAATGAGCCACCTTGTATTGCTAGTCGATCACTTCCTGCTTAAGGTCTTTTTTGTTTGTGTTTTCAAAAGTTTTCTCAATGACACAGAAGATTCAATCCGACAATAGGACCGACTCAGATCCAGCAGGAATCCGATAAAATTTATATGGATTTCTGCGAAACCGACGGAATCCTATAGGAATTCTGGAAACTAAATGACATCCGGATTCCTAGTGTTAGAATCCGATGGGATCCTACTATCGGAATTCGACGGAGTTCAACACTTCGTTCTGACTAATCTCTACTATTGTCACCAGTTAGTAATTAGTACTTAATTAATTAGATAGGTTTTATCCGTCGGATCCATTAGTAGATTCGTTTCTCGGTACCCCATCGGATTCTATCGGACGCATAAATCCAATCAAATCCGATAGGTCTCACTATTGGATTCATTTACCTAGGTTGGTTTGATGAAGTTTCTATCTATTTCTAAGTCTTTGTGTTAATTAGACAAAAGTCATTCGCTGCTTTTTGACCCTTGCAAAAATCGTCCACAAGAACTCTTATATACGCTATTAATTTTCGTATTCGACATGTCATAGAACAAACACTGTTATTTCATGTACAATGATTTACCGAATTTGAATGCTGCTTCTCTGCTCGTGTTTTTTTTCTAGAGAATTCTTGTAGTGGATGCAGCAGATCTTACAGGAAAAAAAAATCCAAAATGGATCATAAAACTCTGATATCAAGAGAGACTGGAGGCCGAAGTAATCAATTTAGATCCAAGAGTTTTTTTTTCGAGCCTCTCAAAAAAGAAGGATCATAAAATTTTGATTGTAAATCAAACTTTTTCACTCTTCTCTAATATGTTCACGTCGAGTTAAAGTAAACAAGTATTTTGTCTGTAAACATTTGATTTTCCGTTTAGAATAAAACAGAATAAAAACAAACAAGTTTTCATTTAAACAAAAGAGAAATTTTTCATCGATGATTGATTAAAAATTTCTCTAAATATTAGTTTGTGTATTCCAATTAATTTTTCTTGCTAAATTTTGTGTTGTTCTGTCGAAAAATATTAATAACTTTATTTTGAGAGAACTTCTAAGTTGAAAAAGAAAGTTAAAATAATGCTGACTTCGATAAGTGCTGCTGAGGTTTTATAATTTTCAAAACTTTTGCAAGCAATTATAATCTTATTTGTATATATCAATATCAAATAAAAAAAATGACTAAGAAATAGAGACGAAGTTAAATATTTTTTTATACGAATTAGAAATAGCAAATATTAAAGCTTCAACACGTTTAAAATTATTTGAAATTATCAACAGTTTTACAGAAAATTTCAGAATAATTCATATTTATGAGACTTGAATGAATTTTACCAAACTTCAAGATTCAATGAGACTTCAGAATTGAACTCATTTATAATTTTACTATTATTATTTGTTATTCGACTTTCAGATAACATAAAAAAGTTTTTTATTATCCTATTTGTACCATCTAAAAACAGCATACAAGTAAATAACTATTATGGCTTCGCGTGTACCTCCAGCATTGAATAATTCTTTAAAAACTGTTGAATGGATGTGGCAATCAAATCCAAATCCATTTTCAAAGTCTGAACCGGCTATATGGAGTCACTATTCAGATTTAGAAAATTTAATTATTGAAGAAGCATTTCAAGATACACAATCACGAGCTCAAATGGATGATTATTTTATTGATTTCAAAAGTAATCTGCAAATATCGAACACTGATGATTACGAGCAAAGACCGATAAAACGAGTGGTACGTAAAAGAGAAGATAAACACCTACGAGAAGCACGTTTTATGG